GAAGAAGAAGCTTCCTCAGATGAAGAGCAGCAGACGAGTTCCAGAAGGGGACGTTCCAAATTTGAACGGTGGACGAGCCATCAGGAGAGGGATCTCTCGATTTCATCATCTTCTTTCAGGAAGACCAATAAAGATTCAGAGACACAGAACAGCGGCTCGGTTTCTTTAATTCCTCTGAAAGCGGAAGGTAATAAACCTGAGTCCTCAGTCGACAATAAAGACGCTGCGAGCGCGAAACCGATGGTGGATGATAATACTAAACACATGGACACTGTGGAGAAATTGAAGAAAAGGAGCGAGCGTTTTAAACTTCCTATGCCCAGCGGAAAAGAAGCAGTGGGGACTCTTAAGAAGATGGAGAGCGAACCTTTGCCCTCTTCACGAACTGAAGTCTGTCCAGATTTGGAGATCAAGCCCGAACGCCCGGCCCGTAAGAGGAGATGGACTGGAAATTAAGATATGCAATGCGGATGAGGATTTGAGTTTTTGAGACTATAAATTGTAGCTTTTATCTTGTACTATTTTTACTGTTCCACATGTTGTGGCCATTGACTCTTTTCTTTTGTTCTTTTGAGAAACTTCGACAAGTGTAGACATATAAATATATATAGATATTCCATTGTAAAGTAGAATTGTAGATGGCCGGTAATGAGGCACAACATTCGCATGTTCTTTTTTCCGTTGAGAGGGAATGGATATTTGCATGACAGATTGGTGATAACTGATAAGTGAAGGTGCTGTGTGTTTTGAACCTGTGCTGCTGTTTTGTTTGAAAAGATCGGGAAGCCTTAGATCTGCGACGTCATGCACGAGGCTTGAGGAGACAAGTGAATGATGACGGAACTTGATTCATCAGACTTGTTGCTAATGTAGTGTTGTATTTATTAGACTTGAATCAATGTAGTTTGTATTTTGGCCTCGGACACACATAAACCATGTTTTGTAATTTTGAACTGAACGAGATAAAGGTAAATGTCGACGAAGTATCTGTGCTCAAGGTCCGGTTGAACTAGACCGGCCGGTTCCACCGGGATGAGCAATTGGTCCATTATAGTTACAACAAGATAAAACAAGTAAAATTGGGATGAGCAATTGGTTTAATATAGTTACAACAAGATAAAACCAAGTAAAATTGGGATGCATCAATGTAGAAC